AGAATGAGCACCTATTGATAATTTGATAATTTTTTTTCGCTGCGAGTTGGAATGGTTCATGGTTTTGTCACATGGAGCATTGAAAATGTGTGGGTTATAGTTATGCTTACAACGGCCTTGACTGTACCAACATGCACAATACCACATTAAATGAATACCTTATACATGAAGAGATCCTACTTTTTCAAATACCACGTATGTGAGCCCATGTGAAGATAATTTTTTTTCTTAAAACATCTAAAACGTCTGATACATCACGCTGTGCGAACGCTTACTGCTTATTTGTCCTCAGTGTAGTTGACTAAAATACGAATTGCCCAGAAAAATATTCTGGAATTAATCTTGTACCAGAGCTAAAAAAATTCTTCTTAAAAACGCTGAACGGTCGGTAGAGTGAATGGATGGAACCATATTGTAAAATCTCAAACTTTCAGGCAGGTTTTTGGAGCGGCTTTGCTACTATCGGCAATATCTTTGAGTTAGATTCTCTAATAAAATAGGAGTTTTCATGCGAACGGGGACGTTTATATGGAAAATTTCTGGATTTAGAAAACGCTTTGGGCTATATCAATAGAGAACCTTTATGGCGAAAACTAAATGAACTAGGATTCCTCAGTTAGTTTTAAATATGTCGCAGAGCATGTTCAGAGAAGTAAATTTCAGCGCCAAGTGCAGCGACGAACGTACAACGCAAAAAATAAAATCGACACTAGAAGTAAGACAGGGTTGTCCTCTTTAATCGTTATGTTTATCTTGTTTATAAACGATTTAATGACATGGGTACAGAAAGTGGATACATCCGCGCCAGAAGTTGATGGCCTCAAAATTCTAGAATTATATGCTGATGAGCGTAATCTTGGCTGTCCGGATGACGCCGCGTCGAAGGCTGTGTTGCCGACGATTCGACCATCTTGTCGTGGTCTTCCTCAGGGCTGGTATGCAATACCATTCTTCGACGCGGCGTCACCCGGACAGCCAAGATCACGCACATGACCCTGGCCGCGGAAGTCTACGACTTAATATATGCTGATGATTTAGTTTTATATTCAGAAACTATTTTGGAGTTACAGAGAAATTTAAACATCCTAGAAAGGTATAATAAGTCATAGGGACTAAACGTAAATTTAAAAAAATACTAAAATGTTTGCCATCAAGACTGGGTTTGTGGGGGGTAGTAACAGAGAGAAATGATATAACGAGCAGGATGAGCTCGATCGTGTCAAAATCATTTCGTATCTTGCTCCAAACTTTTGCAAGAACGGGGGATCGATTAGTCACATAGGAGCTGCTAAAAGTCAAGGAAGAATTACGCTTAAAGGAATCGTTTGCACAGAGAACCGTAATTGTCTTTAAAGGTGTCTGACACAGTGTTTAAATCTAGTTTTCCCAGCTATGAATGATAGGGAGTGGATAGAATGGATAGATTGGCAAGGATCGAAAAATACTACGATTAAATTAATTCTCGGTGTTTCTAAATTTGCAGCAAATGTCGGCGCCGTATGAGAGGTTGGTAGTGTAGAAATTTGGAAAGATTTTAAATTGAAACCCATTGAGCTTTGGATTAGATTAGCAAGTGAACAAGATGACACGCTGATTCACAGGTGCTTTAGAGTACACTTAGAGAAAAGCTATCAGCCCTACTGGTCCTACAAAAGGAAACTACTACTAGAAGGGCAGTTCTAGGAAACTCTCTTCGAAGAGATTGGGGATGGAGGAACGCATGAGATAAAACTGTTAATTTCGGATACACTTTTATAGATTAAAAGACAAGATATCCTGACATTAATTTGAAGTTACGTTCACACATTTCAAAAGGACGCTAGAGGGAGATACGCTTGGTTTAGGGTTGGGGCGAAATTCAACGTAGATTGAAAGACAATTGCATATATGTGCTTTGCTGTGATAGGAGAGATTTGATCCATGTCTTTTTAATTTGCAGTGCTTCAGAATCATGGATAGCAAATTGGATGAAAATGGAGAACTATTACATCCAGCAGAGAAAGGTATGGCTCTCCCAGAATATTATTTCAGAAGTGTGAGTGTGTCCATGAGAACTGTCGCAACGTGTGGGTGACCGAATGAAAATTAAAAACAAACAAACTGTAAACATGGAAGGCGGTTGACTTCTCACTCGAAACTGACCACCCTCCTTCCTCCCTCGGGACTGCGCCGGATGTGCCAATTACTAGGGATGCAAAACACGCCGCCAGAAGATACGTGCGCTGTACGGCGACATGGAGAGCGATTTTTATAAGAATGAGGCGTTGTAACAGCTAGTGCTGGCAACACAAATGAAAGCTATGTGGTCGTTATGTCTTGGAGCCCGTTAGACTCTTCCTCCATTCGTTCGTTTGCAGTTGGCTAACTTGTAAACGGTTTCCACGGTTCCTTTCGCGATGTTCTCGTAGAACGAAAATATACTGCGCCACGAGAAATAGTTGAAATTGGGAAGGGCAGAGCTATGTGCTCTTCTGTAAAAATAATTTTTTTTATAAATTTTTGAATTTAGTTTTTAAGTGATAAGTATTGTGTTTGTTTGAAAAACGAGTCTTGAATGTGAGATGCATACTGATGACGGTGCACATGTCTCCAGCGTTGCAAGGTGACGAGCTGTGTTCGTGAGCGTTTCGAGGTTCCGCGCTTTGCTTTTTATATTTGTAGTATAAATAAAGTAAAATATAGCGTTCACTGTGTAAAAGTTTTAATTGGCGAGAGCGAGTATAAAGAATGTGCTTATTATTAATACATGACATAAGATATGAAACTGGACATACATAGGTAGGTTAAGGAATGCATTGACACACAGAACATGAGAGACAGGCAAAGCAATGCAATTGAACAAGTCACATTTGAGTATTGAGAGCATAGTGCTGTTTTGATAGTCGAGGTATAATAATTATAAATTAACCACCCTCATCACTACACGAGTGCATGAGCCATTTGCTGTGAAACGCTCAGAAACGGTATTTGAACTTCCCCGAAAAATAAATTTTATTTCTATTTACATTCGTAACAGTTTTCTTTTACTGAATATGAGAGCATGTTAAGACATTTTTGCACATACGTAATTGAATTTCAGTATCTCCCGGACTCGCGAACGTGCTTATACCTCAGCGAAACTCTTAGTCTTCTGCATAGTGAGGTCATCGCGGGAGCCGCAAACAAACACTTCACGAAGAGACGTAGCTGAACAGCTGCCGCGGCGCAGAGATACTTCTCTGCATTACACGTGATGTTGACTTGTTTAGCGAACTGTCACTTCGGCTCATTGGTATAACAATCGCTCTTAAACTCAATTAGTTGGCAAAACCGCCACAGAAGAGGGGCGACGTTGCACACGCGCAGCACCAGTCGTCGCCGTGGGACCAGGGGCGTTCCTAGAGGGCCTATGGGAGGCGGTGGGTGAGGCGCGCGTAAAGCGATCGCCTCCAGAGGTCAGCACGTCCCGTGCGGCTCGCGAGAGGGGGCGTCTACGGGTGGTCCCAGTGATGTGCTACAGAGCGAGCGATTGAGCGTCGGCGTCACGTGGTCGCCCTCGGGTGGGGCGGGCCGCGAGCTCTTAAAATAGCGATACAAGGGACTTGGCTGTTTTGCTTCTGCTTGCCTTTTTTCCTTGTACCTTTTTGCATTTTGCCAATTATGTAGACTTTTGTCTTCGACTGGTCTCGGCGTTGCCATCAGATCATTCTAGACATCTGCCATGAAGCCAAACTTTATTCTGTGCGTCGTCGGGTAGACGAGGCGCCGCGAGCGAGCGGCAGAAGCGAAAGGTCGCCGCCGAAGCCACCCGCAGAGAGCCACCTCTGGAGCTCCGAGACTAAGCTACCGCGCGCGCAAATGGCTGGACCTCACTGCGACGAGTGCAGCTCGAGCAGCGGCATCGCCACGCCATCAGAGCAGCATTTTCACAATGGCCTAATTGGATTTACCTGACTTCATTAAGTCTTGTGGATCTGTTGTTGTAATAGCATTTCCTGTAGATGTACAGTAGTAGTAAAGTAAATTAATTTTATAACTGTTGGTTACTAAATCTGACGATGTATTAGGCGATAATAGATCTCACTTCACGAAAGAATTAGGGACATTTACAGGAAACGTTCGTACTAATAGGGAAAAGGTAATTAGGGAGTGGAAAACTGCACTGCTTACGAGTGTGAGAGGAGCTAAGACTAGAGAGAAATGAAATAAGTTAATATATAAGTAATGGTTAAGTTATTCAGGAAATCGATAAGTAAAGAAGAAAATCAGAAAACAAAGAAGTAAACTATAAAGTAATTAGATGAGCACTTGAGGTCCCTTGTAAGAGAAGAAGCGCAGAGACGATGGTCCGGACGATCTCTGAGGCGCTTCCGAGCCAGGATATTGTTACATCAGCAAAATAAATCAATTACCTTAAAAGTGTTAAAATGATAACACAATCGCTCTTCTGTTAATGTGCTATTTATTATATGAAATATACAGTGCCCTCGTCTAAAGGAATACCGAATCGTACAGACCCTAAATAAAATCTAAACATATCTAAATATTGCTGGTACGTCCAGTACTAGATACAATATTTAGAATTTATTAGTCATCATCGAGAAAATTATACCTGTATTTAGAAACTCATATTATGTTATGTATTTGAACTGCAAAATTATTTAATTAATTTCATTGTTACCAAATACATGTTACTTTATAGATACTAAACTGTATAGATACTGAACTGTATAGATACTGAACTGTATAGATACTGAACTGTATAGATACTGAACTGTATAGATACATATATTATTGATAAAAAATTATATAAGCTTTTAATTTTAGTAGTGGTATGTACAGGAAATTTACAGTCATAAATAAAATAAAATGACGGACTACATAAATGGTCAAAGAAGTAGTACACTTACCTGAAAGTCTTTGCTAGACGTTTTGTTATGATTCGCGCTAATCTGCTTATCCAGGAATTTCTCGAGCGTATCGACATCAATTAAATGTAGGGGCGCTACATCATCGGCATCATTTAACATTATGTCAGCTCCACCGTCGAGTAAAGCCAGCACAGTCGAGTTGTTTGCGTAGAACGCGGCGTCGTGCAGCGCTGTGCTTCCGGTGCACTCGTCTTGCGTATCTATCTCGACGTGGGGTCTCTGCGCCTGTTCATTCCATGGCTCTGGACTGGGCTGCAAAGTCTCTTTATCCACGTTCTCATACGTCTTTCCCAAGAGCAAATCTATACACATTTGCATTTCGGGTTCCTCCTACGAAAGAACAAACTGAAGTAATAATCTGAGAAGCACAGGTCAGGACGACGGGCTCGATGACATGAGTACTGTTGCAAGCACCAAAACAAAGAGACAAAAATAGCTCACGGGCTTCCAAACATCATATAGTGTTGTTTACAGCCTAGTAACTTCTAAACCAGTTTCATGTCTTCACAAATACATTCAATGTAGTCTAACAATGAATAAAGAAATCAGACACAGAGGTGTGGCTTAGATGTAGGTCATTTAAAGTGATGGCGCGCGGTGTACTTTTGACGGATTGCAGTGAAATAGTTCAATTGTTTCAAGCAAGATTCTTAACAGTAGAGATTTCAATATTTAATATTATATACATTTAAAGTTAACTTGTCCAACAGATAGTGCAAATTGTACTGTTTAATTTGACACAAAGTTCATTTTGCGATATTCTTTTGTTTTTTGCAAATGTTACACTAATATTTTTTTAAAATATGTCTCACGTCTAAAATGCACATTTCCTGCAATTTGTAAACACTATTACATTTGTAACTGGAACTGCTTGACATGACTTTATATGAAGTTTTTCGAAAACTCAACAGTTTTCTGTGAAAAGAGTTTCAAATTTCGCATTCACAGTAACGTCTTCGGACGGCAATCGATGGCAGCTGGCAAGGTGGTAAGTCCGAATATCTAGCCGAGACCAAAGGAAATAGAAAATTATTACGGGATAATTTGTGCCATTCTCTAGCACCACTTGTTTCATTTTCAGAAAATGTCATGAGTCTTTCAGAAATCTCATTAGAAATTATTTTGGGCAATAATTGGATTCACAAATGCGATAATACTCTGTAAGCAATGCCCATAATGTAAATATTAATTGAGAGATAATAAAACTGCAATTTTGTAATTTCTGGAAAAAAAAGAATACAAAGAGTACTATTTCAGGTCAAAGAGTATTATTAAATCAGGATTCTCAGTGAATATCAGTACACAAAAATTTGCGCTATCCCTTTAAATAAGCTAATGAAAACAATTGGAGTCGTTATGAAAAAATTGCGTTCCAGAGTTTTTGAAAAACCATAATTTTGAACTCATTTTTTAGTTTAAAAGAAATTTCAGTTTCCGTGAAACGTAAGAAATCATTTGAAGCCCTTTTATATAAATTCAGAGATGCAAACAGTGAAGATCTAATCCACGGCATCTTTGTAAGTGCATTTTATCCTATTATTTCAAGAATTTATAGAAAAAATGTAGGACCATTTTAATATATTTTGAAAATGACCCAAGGGCTCTATGTGGAGTACCACAAAGATTTTTTTTCAAAACGACAGAGCTTACAGCCAGTACAAATTGGCCGGAATTTTTTTTTCAAAAATCTTTCAAATTCTAATTTTCTTGACAGACAGATGGACGTCTTGAAAAAATTCTCCCCAAAACGCGAAATTACTAAATCTCGAAATCGATATTCCGCATCATTATATAACATTCTCTATACTGAGTATATTGCTCCGTAAGATACTTTTGCGAGAAAATAAAGAATGGATCAGTTTCTGAGAAAATATTGAAAATTTCGATAGGACTTTACATAATGTCTCCACCCCCAAATAAAATAGCCTAAGTTTTCTTAAAACCACCTTTTCACATTAAAATACACAAATGTGAGTTGTGACTACACCACAAATTTAAGAAAGAAATGAACAAATATTTGAGAGAGGAATTCCACTTTTTCAGAAGCAAGTACGCCCGCTTTGTGGTTTTCAGTCAAAGTATGTGGGCATTTTCTTCATCATTACAAACATTTCTATATAAGATGGTATGTATACGAAAAAGAAATAGTTTTATGATTTCCTGGCAGTTTAATTCCAATTTGTACGTTTTTTGACGAAATCAATTTGCCTCTGCGCGTATACAGTGCCAACCAGTCAGTTTCGACTCTTATATTATATGTTTGGAAATGCCATATTTTGAGTCTTTCAAACGTATTCTTATTACCTGTGGAGTATACCGCTTTTGGGCGGCTATGTGCAGTGCAGTCTGTCCGTATGCGTTTTGCATATTAAGAGCCTCGTGGTCCAAACTTCCTGTGAGCACTCTAACAGCCTTCAGGTTGTTTATAGATACCGCCTGGTGCAGTGCGGAAGAATAAAGGTTTTGTAGACATTCGTTTCTATTCTGGACTTTAATGTCGGCTCCTTTTTCAATCAAGGCGGTAAGAAAACCCTTCGGCATATCCTTTCGTCGACAAGCCAATTCCAGGCAGGTGCAGTAATAAGGGTTGCCAAACCTGCAACCGACAATTGAGTTGAAACTTTGAGACGAAGAGAGCATACATTTTGGTACGCAAATTAATATGCAAAATGTCATAATTGTCTTCATTTTAATGAAAAGTTAAGGAACTAGAACAGAACATAATACCACGTATTACGGGTAACGACTAGTACACTGTTATACTAATAAATTCTTTGAAATTTCAATAGCTTAAATGAAAACATTTTTACACCGAATTTAGCGTATTGTGATATATTTATATTCTTAAAAAACAAAACAAATAAAATAAGAAGCAAAAATATATAGTTATACTTGATTCGAATGGAGGTGCAGCCAGCGAAAATCTCATGGGCTGCCTGAGAGCTCTATGGGTATTCCGTATAAATGTGTTTCAATAAACCACGAAGTTACACAATAATTTCAATTATTTGTCATGAATTCATTGCGTATTTGCAATTTATTGTAATGATACGGCTATTGATTTTGCATAATACGAGTATTTTGTATCAAACATAATTATATGCAGAAATAATAAAAGTACTTTGCTGTGAATTGGAACCAAGTCTTATTTTGGATATTTCGGTAGATTTGTGACAATTGCGAAAATTATTTTCTTAAAAGGGAGCCTCTACAGAATTAAAACTTTTAATACTAAAATATGTTAATGTTAAAAATATGTCTAAAAATAAGTTATTTTAAATTTTTGAACTAATTGTTTAAAAACTGATAGAGATTCGTCAACAAAGTACCTGAGGCACTTTTCACTCAACCATTTTGAATCACTTGCGTAGAATTCTAAAAATTAGAATGGTTTTGACGAACTTTTCTTATTTTTCGGTAAATGTCTTGTTTAAATAGAGAAACATCCCGACTTTTAGTGGTCTTCATTGAGTCGAAGTTAGGTTCGTAATAAATGAAGCAATTTCGTACAGAGGAAGATGAGGTAGGAGTATCTTCGGCCTATTAATATGGGGACATGTGCTGTGTGGAATTTTGTTTTGCAAGCTCGCTTTGGTTTATTTGGTTACACCGCGTGAGAGGCGAATGAAGCTATGCAGAGCGCTTTAACGACAGTGTCTTTGAACGAGGCACGTACTTTAAACTTTTCGTAAGACACGTTGTCATCACGCTAATGTAATGTTCGTCAGGATTTCCGTTTGCGCCACACTGCCTGTGGTTGATAGAACCATAAACCACAATGGCTCCCCGCTCCGGACGATGCTCTTGATTAATCCAACTACGAGCTGAAACGCGGATCTTTTTGGAGTCGTCCTGAACTGACATCCATAATTTAATGTCCCTGTACATTTGAATTTATAGTGAGTTTTTATCATTTTAACGTTAAGTCCTTAGGCCTATATGTCTGCTATATACTGAGGTTGTAAAACATGTTAGTAAAATATAATTTGGTTACATGTTACATCTGTTTATCGGAGGTCATCCACAGCTAATCAATTAACATTTTATGGTAAAATCAATCAATGCTAGTAACGCATATTGCTTGCGTTCACTAGTTAAACGAAGAATATGATCAAAATTTGTTGCTTCTAAAAAAATAATAAAAACTACTTCAATAACTGACTAGAATCTAATTGTACCATCGCGTCCCCAGTAAGAGAAAAACTAGATAAGCTAGTTGTAGCAAATTAATTTATGGGTAACGCTACATAAAACATTTATACATCGAATAAATATCACATTATTACTATTCTTTATAGAAAACAGTGTTGCTCACCTATAGTTAACATTGAAATTTTCCCTGTTGAGCAATTGCTTGAAATCATCCAGGTGCGGATTGGGAGAGAGAACCATTTCCATCAGTGGATCCAGAGAAGGCATGCTCTCCCTGTCATTTGGAAGAAAGCGAATGAGATTCGGAAACTTGTTTTCGATGCATTCACGCATCGTATCTCCACTTCTCATGTGGAAGATATTTACATCGATTCTGGAGCCACCACACACAAATAATACCTGTACAGAGATATACATTTTGCAGCTTTGTTACGCACATAGCACACTCTTTATGCACATTTTACAAAAGGCATGTATTCAGATTCTGACGGAGACATTTTCTTTGTGTGATGTAAATCCTAAAAAGATGTAAATAACACGTACCTGAAGTAGCTCTTGATTGTATGGAGATTGCTGCTCGTGAGCCAGCCAGAGTGGAGTGTTGCCGAAATAGTTTGGGCGATTGAACTCCATGTCCTCGTGCTTCATGAGCATTCTGATGCAGCTCTTCAGGGAGTCCATCCTCACGAAGTCCCACTCCGGCGACACGGCATTGTGAAGCGGAGTGTTGCCGTTGTTACTCAGCGCGTTCACGTTCGCTCTAATTCTCGAATTTTCCAAAAGAAGCCGCATTATCTTCTCATTTCCCTAAAAAACATACAGTACCAATCGCAATTTCGGAATGTAGCAAAATGGTTATTTGGAACAAATTGATGTTAACTTCTTTGTTTAAAAGTAATGATTTAAAAGAACTCGCAAAAAATATATTCAACGGTTCGATACACACAGAATGTGTTTGTTTCCAAATCACAGGTACCCAACTCCAAGAGATTGAATAAAGAACTAAATCTATAAAACTAGTTAACGCGAATTTCAAAATTTCTAAATACTTTCACATACATTTTAATATTGGAAATTTAAGTGTCTGAATGGAAATTTGTCCTTTACAGTTTCATAACAGCACTTTTTTCTAAATGGTGACATTAAGGAAAAAAGGGATGTATTTGAGAGAATACAGTGCTTGAAGAACTTCATGAAAATTTCAACCTGTATTATTAAAATAAAAGAACAAACATTTATAAGATTTCTTTCACAGGGTCTGAAGATGAAATAAATTGATCTCGGAATCACTACTTCAAAAATATTATTTGAATATTCGGGTAATATTATTCACCTACGGTCAGACAGGCGGACGAAAAATATTGAGGCTTTTCAGGGGTATTTAAAAATGTTTGAAATATGCAGTGAGACTTGGGGCTTTAGGACTGGGATATATCTCTCCCGAGGTAGTTGAGGGTAGGAAAACATGCGAGATAGAACGGTTAATATCAAAAAGACTTTCGGATATACGAATGCACGACATCCTATCAACAACCTTCGAAAATTGCTGGCTAGTTGTACAAATCTACACTAAATCGGTTTGGAGTCACTCATTTAGAAGATACACAATGAGGGAGACGGGTTACGCTTGTTTTAGTGTAGAGGGCGGATGCAAAGTACACTGGTAAACTTGGGAATGCTGAATCCTTTTCTGTCTTAGGGCGATGTAAAAGATTAAGTTAACATTCTTTTAAATTGATGTACAACCGACACAAAGAGAGGAAAATAGATGGGAGTGGGGAACTATTTTTCCGACATAAAAGTTAATGCTTTCCCAGAATACATGAAGTTATAATTGGTCACATTTATGAAATAATTAGAAACGTCGCTAAGAATTTGCCAAGGTTCGGACAATTAAGCAAATAATTAGCGGCTGAGAAAACAACAGTAGTAAGCAGAATGGAGCCTGTAGTGATGAAAAAATAAATATTTAATGAATATGTTAAAAGTTTAAAAGTAAAGGCGTTATTAAGTAATAAGTAAATAAATAGGTAAATCGACAAATAATAAATGAGCACTATATTAGGTGAATGGAAATGAGTATGAGAAAATGAAACGAGGGGTTTGGACAATCTTCCGTGACGCTTCTTCATTTCAGATTCTGGGGATGCCAAAATCTGGAAGAAGAGTACGTGATCTTGAGGTTTTGAAATAAATAGTTTATAAGAGTTTGTGACATTACTATGTAATCCTCTTCTGACTACTTTTTTTCCTTCAGAGGTTTTCCCCTCAGCCGTAGGATATGGTCACTTTTCTGCGGTTTTAATTCAATTAAAAGACCGTCTGCAGCGAATACAAGAATTGGACAGGTTAGGCCAGGCCATCAGCCTTTAAGGATTAGTTAATAGGTAATTTAAATGAAAAATAAGAGGTAAATTCAACTCTAAGCTTGACTATAAAACTTGAATTTTACCACTAATGCTGCGTGGTGCAGAGCAGTTTGCTTATCGTTATCAGCTTCGTTGGGATTAGCACCTGCTTCCAATAACAATTTCACAAATTCCATTTTCTCGTCGTTTCTCCAGGCGCATGCGATGATAAGGAGAGTCTGCATACACAAAATGTACACTCACTACATGTAAGACCAATTTTAAACAGCATTTAGGAGCTGTTCACCGAAGATATCCTATAGTTAAGATATAATAAAATAATTAATAAATAGTAGCAACTATGCTACTGATTATCTGTGAGCTACAAAAGAGAAATGATTCTAAATGTGTAGTGTGATGTACGACATTAAACATGCATTATTATTAACATTTACAAAATTACAATGTTCAATTTGAGAATTAATAAAGCTCGTTGTGTGCTCTGAAACTGTGCTCTAACTAAAAACCAAGTAAAACTGACTACTAACACAATTTATTTCGTTGTTTTCAACTTAAAAACATCGAAATTCTTACCTGGTCATTTTCGAACTTTCTGTTTATATCCACATCTTCATTGAGTAATATTTTAAATTTGTTTACGTTATGATTTTGTAGTGCTTTCATCATTAATTGTTGCACATTCTTGTTGAAAAATCTCATTGGTAAAGGGAGCTTCTCTTCCCTCTCATCAACAATTCTCATCATGCTGTCGTTAGTAGCCGTTTTATTTTCAAGAACGATGTGAACCTCTTCTGCAAGAAAGGGAAATCAGTAAAACTAAATGATTTTTGCAATTAGTAGTGGTTTACGGACGTACGGATGTAATATCTGTTAATTCGTGAGAATTGATTAAATATTATCATTATTAGTTGAAAAAGAAGTTGAGATTAAACATTGAATAGCGGGAAATCGGGTTGGATTTGCAGAAGGCGATGGTGCTGGACGCCGTTGGTTCGCGATAATATGAGCGAATATTATTATTTCCTACTAAAATCGCATCGCACATCATTTCTACACTCATGTAGAATGTGAATACACTGAATTCAATGGAAGAAAGCTGTCTTCGTTTTAAACGTTTGAATTAAAAATATGTGTATTCTTCGCACTTCGTTTGTTTACAAATTTTTCTAATAGTAATTCAAGTGTAAGACCAAACTTGTTTTATTAATTTGCGTAAACAATAATATCGCGAGAGAGTGTGTGCTGCTGTAGTACCACTAGTTTTCCGCAATATTACAACACTTTCTCACACTCCGTTAGCAGTTGCAAGAAAATTAAACTAAAAACACTAACCTTGTGAAAGCAGTCAATCGGGATGCACACAAGCACAATATACCGTTTCCTTTATAAACTCATTCTATGTCATAGCAATGACGGGAGTGCTTATCACCATGCGAAGAAATACGCCACGAAGAGGTTGGATAAGTTACCGTACACGATGGCGATCTCTCAAGCCGCGACGAGGCAGAGACCGCGCGAGGAAGCTGGTCTCTTCGCTACGACTCGACCTCACGCGGGAGGAGGTAAAAGTTTGTCCAGATTCTACTGCGGAGCAGAATCCACGGCCAACTATCACAAGGCTGCGCCGAACGAGTGCGCTTAGGGAAAGATGCCCGGCTTTCGAGAGTTAGTATTGAACCTCCAATGACTGTTGAGGGCATGAGTGACACAAAATCAGTTACGGCAAATCCTTAGTGTGTGGAAGACGGATAAACTCTTTCCACTTCACAACATTTCTTTTCTTGCAATTTAAGATATTGCGTATTTGGTTATTGTGTAAGGTTATATTGATGTTTGCCTTTGTTCTTTTAGTTGCAAACTATCACCAGTTAGACTGGAATACTGTACACCATTGTGAAGAGATTGGGCGTGTTTTTTCATGTAATTCCTCAAAATTTTATTGAAAGAGCCCCGAACTCATTGATATCCATTTTCATGCTCGCCTTCTCTACGACGCTTTCCATGCGTTCTAGGAACGTATGTATCAGAAATAGAGAATGGTATGAATAAATATACTACAAATCAAAACACATATGCTAACTTTTAGGTAAATAACCTTACATACTATCTTAAAGTACATACATATACGTGTACAAACATACACTGACCTATGAACCCTCTCATATACACAAGCCTGGACCTTTTAACTCATGAGAATATTCAGACAAATATGGATAAACATTCTACCCTATAACACCACAATACAAAACTGATATTAATTATTGCATTTTCAACACGCGAAACTATCGTTAACATAAATCAATAAACATAAAGCAATGACGTTTTAGTTGAGCAAAACAAACAGAAACATTGAACATTGAACAGAAGAATTGACAGAAGCATTTAACAGAACAATTGAAATCACTTCACTACAACGCATCTCATGCCACCTTACCTAAATATTAATTGATCGATACGTTTTAACTCTAGAATACCTAATAATCGCACCTTTCACTTCACTTTACTACGTGTTTTCACCCTATTGACGAATTTTGTATATTTTTTCCTAAAACCTCGCGCATTAAAACGCCTGGTGGCGACATCGGCGGGGATAGAACCCCGTCGGCCTTTATTACCAGACATGCTCGTTGATCACTACGTTATCGCGGCAGACGCAGAATACAAAATTAAAGATAGAGATTTTTCTCTCAAACAAAATTCATTCTCCATAATTAGTTCGGTCATGTAGGTCATGCACGTTTATTTGAAAATTGTATTATTTTTCGTGCAATATTCAGTGAAATAAGTACCAATATTAAACTAGTTGTTCTAGAACAGCACATACTTTCTCACCTTTAGTAATAGTTATGTTTTACTTTTTATACTAGTTATGTAAATCAATTTTCAAAAACAAATTATAAAAATGAATGAATGAATGTTGAATCATTTGAAATTTTCGCTATTATTTTTCCTTTACATGAATAACAGGGGATAATTTGAAAAATAGCTCCAACGTTTTTCATTAAATGTTATTGTTCGTTAGTATGAAGCACATTAACATGCGAATGGTGCTGGACTCCTTTTCGTTTAAAATCCTTATTTTTTGAAAGTTGTCAGCATTCAAATTTTTTTTACATTCTAATTTCTATATAGCAAAACATATATTTGTATTTTATCTCTCAAATTTCATCTTTGCTGAAAATCTAATTAATATAAAAGGTAAGATTTTCTACGAGTGAGAGTCGTTCCATTGCTCCCAGTACAAGCGCTGCAATAGTTCCCAACAACAGGATTTCATAAAGAACGCTTCAGAAATTCCATAAAACCTCAAAAATTCAAACAGTATGACAGTTCTATTTATGACAAATATAGCGCTTCTAGGCAGAGTTAATAAGAAAATGTGTGCCCATTGTTGGAAGCGCCCTTGTCTTCATGCGCGCTTCATTGTCAGAGCTACTG